GTGGACGCTTCCGACCAGGCACTCCATGCTCCCGCGTGGGCATGAGATCCTGACCCCGGCTGCTGTATAGCAATGCGGTTGAGTGTGTACAGTCAGAGAAACACGCACACAACGTCGCTGCTGCTGATGATATGGATGCTCCGCAAATATTCTTGCCCACCTTGTCTCCCTTGTTGACGTCCGGATGAACCGCAAGCGCGATCTGTCGGTAAGCTGCCTTGATCTCGGAGTTTGTCGCCGTCCTTGCAACCCGAAGGATGGCGTAGTAGTCTCTCATCCCGCTCTAGCCAGGCTACAGCATCCTGTCAGTGTTGCGTGCCCTAATGTGGACTAGACTGGGGGCTTCGCAGATATGCGTTTTGACTTGAAGGGTATGTCCTACGGTATCGAGTGCACCGGCTCTCTAGTGCGAGAGACTCATCCAAGTACAGGGGGGTGAGCGCTAGAGACACAGAGCGATCGCAGCGGCAAAGCATTAAAATGGCTGCTCGGTCAGCCAGCTGGCAAGGGCTATGCAAGCAGCACAGCAAAGTGCCTCCTCTCAAGCTCGTTCCCTTTCTCCCCCAGGACAATGACGCAGCGGACATGAGCAGCAGCAGCGGCCAAGCCGGCAGCAGCAGCAGCAGCAGCAGCAGCAGCAGCGGGAATACCATTAGCAGGGCGAACGCCGAGCTCGGGAGACTTCTTGACGTTGGCTTTCCCACGTTCTTGAGCTTCGTCCTCGAGGACGAGTCCCTGGCCAAGTTCATCGACACTTTCCTAAGGTAATGCGGCAAGTTGATGTTCGCGAGAGGTGTGGTTTGCAATTTGCGGAGGGTCTGCTTTCGTATCACGAATCACCAGCTCACCACCGCTGTTCCGTAAATGTAGACTAGACTATATTCTAAAGAGGGGTGATGGTAGGCCTTTGCTCCATCGGCCGTTTGATTTTCGATTTAGATACACAAACTTTATTGCTATACTAATTTCAAGTAATTTCACCTTTTCATTCTCCGTCATACAAACAAAACGGCCGATGGAACAAAGGCGTAGGTGATGGGGCGTTGCATCACAGCATTAGGTTCTACATCACAAATTGCCGTGGTACATCTTTTCTATAACCCATTTCACGAAATGTCTCGGTGTGGAGCAGTCGCTTCACAGCAGCGTTTGATTCTTGTACTCATCCACATGGAGAGCAGACTTGGAAAGGGGTCAGGTCAACCACAGAATACAGCAGCAGGGCCGATCGACTCCGAGCTCACCGCCCCACCCGCCCACCCCAAAAATCCGTGGCAATCGCTGCCGAACGAGATGGCTTGCGGCGGCGGTGCTGGAAGGAGGAAATATTGGTGTCCCGCCTGTCGCAGATCACCTCTGTCTGACGAAAAAATCTGGACAGCACTCCCCTTCCCCTCCGTTTCTCGTGCGGCGTATCCTCTGTGGCATGCAGGTTTCGTAGGCGTCATTACGAATCTACTGCTGTAGGGCAGCAGCAGCAGCAGCAGCAGCAGCAGCAGCAGCCGCCGAAAGAACCCGTCCCCCTGCAAGAACTCGGGAGGCGTGTTTTCCTGGTGCTGCTGCGGGCGGTTGGGCCGGAACACGCGTCGCTGGCCAAGGTACAAGAATCAAACCACCACAAACAAGCGACTGCCGTCGCCTTGGCAGGGTTTTTCGATCAAGTTATTCATGTTGGGTAACGCATACAATCGGGCAAGGTTTTTCGATCAAGTCATAGTTGGATAAAATCATACAATCGGGCAAGCTGGGTTATTGGGCTAGGGGTAAGGAAATAGGGTCTGCGTACCCCCTCCCGGTCCGACGACCGGCGGTTTGGTCGCGCATGCCACGGAACCAACCCACCGCACACACCCTGGACCCCAATACGGCCAGTTCATGCTTGCACCACTTAGCGATGCAGCATGTTTTGCAACGCAAGGGTCTGCTATCGCAGCTTCGGGTGGTTGAGTTTCTCGGGATGTGTCGCCGAAGACGGAGCGTATGGATAAAACGTGCTTCAGTGTTTCGAAGGGATGTGCCACCACGGGCTTGTCGGCGTGTGTGTATCAACATGGGCGCGACACAGTCGACACGGCAGAGCGCTCACGTGGAGGACGCATTTTCGATATCTCCGCGACATATATCCAAAGGAAAAATTTTCGGCTTGAGTCTGACAGGCTTCCACCTCTCCAATTCCCCTGCATGATAGACGAAAACATTAACATCCGGGAGTGTTATCGATAGGATAAGTAGGCTTGGGAAACATCTTTATTTTAGCTACCTTTGGCCACAAGTAGGCAGGAACGATTGGCCATCGGTGATCGGTCCGCTGGGAACACTGCTCCGTCTTCTCGAGGTTGCCTGATCAATTGTCTAACCTCTAAGGCACACATAACAAAATATTACGCCCTCCTCCCGGTGTTCCCCCCCGGTGTTGCCATCGGGGTTGGGTATTCGTCGCTTGGCAACGACGTTGTTGTAGAACAAGCCAATTCACTTCGTGAACTCGGCAACCAGGTTACCGTTTGTTTTTTACCTCCGTTTTTTTTTTTGGCGGTAACCATAATGGTGGTCGAGTAGATCATGTTGTGCGGGGTCGAGAACCCTCACTCCGCGCAAGGGGGATGATCGCACCACGTTGTGTTAATATGGTCAAGCACCTTCGAGGCAGTTACACAATGCTTGCAACTGTCTCTGGAAGTGAAAGCACCAGAAAATAAATTAAGTCATACGCAGCTGTCATCCGTACGCAAGGCAGTAAGCACAAGATGCCGAACACGCTTAGCAGGATGCAGCGCACCCTTCATGCGACTCGCCGAATATCTCACGGCGCTTCGCGCTTGGTGATGTGAGAGCCTGGTCCGGTGAGAAC